AGTGGTACGTGCTCCCGACCGACAGCCGTGCACAGCGTTAAAACGCAAAACAGTGCCTTTTGGAAGCCGAGCTTCGGCGGTCGTTAGCTAAGGCAAATTTTAAGGTACATGCCTCAGTGGAGACGAAGTTATGGCAAGTAAGCAGTTTATTCGTATGACAGAAGGGGATTTCCGACAGTGACTCAGATTATGAAATGTAGTTGCGTATTTTACAACGGCCGAACGGTACTATAAGGTCGTGGTGTTTACTGTAAACGATGAGACGGCCGCAGGCATTTTTGGTTCCTTCACTAAATAACGGAGTAAATGAGATTTCATCGAGATCCAGGTATAACCGTTGCATAACGCGATGTAAAAAGCTACTTGCAGAGCGTGAAACGAATGTCGTTAAAAAGCGGGGGTGTTCGAAAGTTGTGAAGCAGAAAATGACTCCTTCGCAATTTCGAACGTGTGAATTGGCACCGAGGCAACAGCGGTCCCCAAAAAAAAACAACAAATGCCAGAAAAGTGTTCTCATACCTTTGTCTTTCGCCTTTACTTTGGATTATCGACCGGATCGGCGGGGCGCACGACGACCACCACGGAAGAGGCGAAAAGAACGCACACGATCCGATGGATCGCGAGGTACATGTGGTAGCAAAGCGAGGCCCGGAGAAGAGGACAGGCAAAGACGTCAGCTGCAGCGCTAACGCGTATTTGCAGGCGGGAATCGTTCGTCGTGCGTCTCACATAACCGACCAGAGATGATCGACGAGATCAGTCGTCTCCAGTTACCGTTAGGAGGCCGGCGAGCATCGAAGTGCGTGTGCCAAGCCAAGCACTAAGGTCCAGAATCCAGGATCTGAAGGGAGTAAGGGTGAGGGTCCCATCCCACAGTAGACAGCCACTGGCTCAACTGCGTAAATGTTGACAGCGATGATGAAGAGAGGACCAGCCATGAACTACAGAGCAGTGCTGGTAGAACAACGATGACGAGACTGACAATTCATTAACGCTTTGGTCGAGTGTCAATTAGAGTCAAGAACGCGCGTGCGGCTCCGAGATTGGCTTTGGAACCGAACGCTGCCGCCATCGCCACGCTTCTCGTGCTGTTCCGTCTGTCGTCGTCTTGTGCCGTCGTTGATTTACGGCGATCGACCGTTTTCGTACTCATTTGTCGTTATTCTAAACGGCCTTATTGAATTACAATGACACAATCGCCGAAAGCATCCGTTTTCTTTGACTACGGTAGACCGAGAGGGCCACCGAGGTCGTCGGCTTTCAAAAATCGCCCGATCGATCGCTCCTCGAAGATCGTCCGATGACAGCGTGCCGCCCATGTAATTAATGGCACATCGGCAGACGAGCGCCGCTATCAGTCCGTCGAGACCACCACTGCCAAACTTTGTCCACAAACAATATCAAAGCGTCCATCTGTCGCTGGCACCGTACTGTCAGCCACTTCGTCATCGCCTTCATCATCTTCCTCATACATCATTTGCTTTCCTCCGCTTTTAGATTGGCTGTGATGATATTTCGTGAGAATTTGTGGACATTACGTTTTTATTTCTATTTCTGTCCTTCGCTAGTGATAATCCGTTTCCACACTTTTAATAAATAATTTTAAATATCGTAAACTTGTACTAAATCTTTTCGCAGACTCGTAAGACCGAACTTGCATGAGTGATTTCCAGGCATTACACCTTTTGCTGATTCTTAATCGGCTATCAGATATCCCAATTCAGATTGCCGCCATAAATTGCATCCATTACAAATGTATCATATCAGAACACGAATGTGTCCCCATCATTTCGAAGTCACCCATTTTTTCGCTTATGCGAACGAAATGCAGTGAAGTGATATTCGTTTTTTAAAAGAATCATGAGTCAGTACAAACCATTTCGGCATCTTGGCGGTTTGAATTCTAATGTACCAACCCGAGTGACTTCCTTCTGCACTAAGTCACTTGTTTCCGAAATCCTCTAAGGCTGTCCTGTTGGGATCCGTCATAAACACAGACCGAGGGTTAATTATATGGTAACAACCCAGAGAGAGATTTTTCGTATTGTTATGATAAATCGCTCTAAGGAAGGGAAATTCCGACAGTAACCCAATAGATGAGTTTGAAACACCTTGCTTATGCATACCAAAGGAACCATTTAATTCTAAGCATCTCACTAATTAGTATCATCACTTGACGAATCCTAAAAGAGCACTTCCATTTGCTTGAAGCATGTCAATGAAAGAGTAATCCCTTCTCTGCTTAGAAGAATGCGAGAAAAGTGGCTTCTGTCATTTTGTGAGGAATTTACTTCTGAGACGAAGGAAAGATTCTCCAAGTAAGATTCACTAGCAATTTTTTTGTTTCTCGTTGATAAAATAGTGTAAAGCAGGGTTTGCTTATACACAACGCAGAAGATACTGTGATCAGGCCGGTGACTGACCAATACCGAAGTTTCGGCCCGCCCGTGCGTGACTCACGGGCATATGTTTCCTCTGCGTTGTGTATAAGTAAGCCGTGGTTCACGCTACCTTTTCGGAATAACCATTAACGAATGCTCCCTCTCTCTCTTGGTTTTCATGCGATGTTTTGTTCCACTAATTCGGGTTCACACGTTATTAGCTAATGACTTAGCGAGATTTGATTGTTTCTTTGTCAGCAATCGTATCACACAGCAGTGCTCCTCTGTCTAAGCACTGGCTATATGTTCACCAGGTCGGCAAATGCAAGAACATGGTTTCTCTGATTCGCCTGTAGCGTTAGGCCCTGTAACCACTGAAGTAGGAAACTGTGCGATCTTGCAAAAACAACTGCTCTCAAGTACAGCAAAACTGGTTTGCCCGGCTGCGACAACGCTGTGTCAGATCGAAGCGATACCCTCTTTCCAATCGTGGTTTTCAAAGGTATTTTTCTGACTTGTTCATTATCAAGGTCGCCGAACGCTGGAGAGTTTAAGAACGGGTTTAATGAACGTTATGTTTATAATTTGACTATGTGAACCATGCATAGCTTCACAGCTACCATCTTTCACTTGCTTCGTACAGCTCTACTTCATACACAGATACACTGATTCGTGAAAAGCTGTTCAATTCCACTCATCATACTAGTGTTTTGGCCATACTGACCAGACCTAACAACAACAAAATTCCATTGTTTCAGGATCGACAAAACGACGAAGAACATATCAATCAGCAACGTTTTCTCTACCCGTCGTGAACAGAGCGTGTAGGCAATGCAATGCCAATTATAGTACGTCAAAACAAGGCTTCACAGAAGCGACACGTCACTGGGAAATTAGAACATATCCTTATTCAGACGGAAAGACCTGAATCTAGTTG